TCCCGAGCCGGGAGTCTCCCGGAGTAAGGTCTTGCCAGTTTAGTGAGTATTCAGCCTTCGTCACAGAAGGTCTGTGAGTCCCACACAGAGGAAGGGTTCGTGCGCCCTCCTACCGTGCGTAAATGCATTCTGGACGACCTCGGAAAAAGAAAAAAAGAAAATAATAATAATAATGATAATAATCCCTGTATGAGTTCCGGGGTATAATAGACCCAAGGTATTTCCTGCCTGTCGTAAAAGGCGACTAAATGGAAAGTGTTTTCGTGCGACCCTCTGGTGATGCGAATAATCAGGGACCCTATAAACGGGTAACCCTGAAAAGCGAATAGCCAGAATCCCTATAAACGGGACCTTCTGGAAAGCGAATGGTTGGGACCCTTATAAACAGGCTCTCCCAGAATGAATGAACTAGCAGGCTAACACGGGCACACATAAACACTCCCTCAGGGGCCGTGCAAGGTTCCGGCACGGCACGGGAACCGCGACCCCGAGGAACCCGACGCAGCACGGAACAAAGAAAACCGATGAAATGCACAAACAAAACTTCGATATACCTCAAGTGGTATACCCTACAGAGGGACAATCCACCCTGGGTTCCGACCGGAAGAAAGATCCGGTGGCCCATGGCAGCGGCAAGGATTCTGAGGGCCGCAGTAAGTGCAAGAAGTCAACCGAAAATATACCAAGAAAATGCGAGAAAAAAGATAAAACAGCGGGGCACAACTTCCTAGACCTGCAGACACGTAATAGAACGGTGAGTGTATCGAGCACAGGAAGCGCATCGAGCTACAACTCTTTCACCGACAACGACGACAGACAGGCAAATTCAAAAACGGTACAGGCAAGACAACAAAGACTGGAGATCACAGCGCTACAGAAACGAGACCTGACGGAACTGCTTACAATAATACAGACGACAGCAACAAAGATGGCAGAGGCAGCGACTATCCAAAAAAACATGAATATAACCGTCAAGACAGGTATAGAGACGATCCTCGAAGCCGCTGATGTCGCGCTTAATATGTGTGCCACGACGGTTCCGAGGCAACGGACCAACGACGGCGACACAACCACGGATACAGAGACAGAGACGAACAAACGGGTGACGCCACGAACAAAACGGAAAAGGGAGACGACCG